GCAGTTCTGCCGCACCAGGCCGTTTGAATATGAGCATCAAAGGATGAGAGAGTCAGAAATCGCCCGTCATGGACACTTGTTTTCGCTTGGATTCATGTGACGTTCACTGCTCCAATCGACAAACTGATGCACATCGAAAAACCGCTGGTTGACGCCTGATTACGCCGCGACAAACTGTCTTTATCTGTCCCGTGTCACTACAATGTGGTCCCAGCCACTTCAACTTTCTGCAAGAGCTTAACAGGGCATGAGTGCCCTGGAACGTCAAGAGGGAATGCAGACCCCCCCCCCCGGGCAAGCAGTTAGATTGGGTTCGAAAGGCGCGCCCGTGCGTCACGACTTCTCCCACAAAAATAACTCCAAGCATTCTCTGTATGATTGAGAGTGCGAATGTGATTGCTAATCTATCCGCCTGCATTGATGCATATACCCCACGTCACTACTAGGAGGTGAATTTTCTAGGAACTTTTAAGGAACACCCTGATTGGCAAAGTCGCACGAGTTGCAAGTATGAACGCGGCCCAAGTCTGGGATGGGCAAGATAATCCAAGCGGATGGTGAGGCCGCATACGTACTTCCAATTGCGGTGATTCTGTGGTGCCATGTGGGTGTCAGCGCACTACCTCAAATCCTTAGACCACTACGACTGTCAATTCAGTCACAATTAGGCGAGCTTCTTCCGACCGTTGCAGCGCGAGCCACTAGCCGTGGAACTCATCGGTCGCAGTAGTTTGATTCATAGATAAACAGCTGAATCGCTCGATTTTCGAAGAATGAACGTCTCTTCTCCATGATGGTGGTGGAAAAGGTGGGGAGAGAAGGACAATCTACTCAGGTTGACCTCTGGCTCCACTCACTCAGCGACACAGACCATGGCTGAAGGCAGTGGGCACGATGGCTGAGGGCGGTCAGTTGCCGCCAACGAAACTGGTGGAAGGGCTGCGAGAAGGGGCTTGGCCACACGCCATTAGGCCCTTCCACCAAAAACGTTGTCAGCAACCGCCCGCTCGCAGCCATCGCGCCTACTACCTCTGACCATGAGGCTTTCGCTTCTTTCCATCTCCATACTCCTCTCCTCTGTTTTCGACACCATAGTTCGAAAGTTTCAATGTTCAACGATCCACATAACCGCTACAATAGAACCTGTATTTTGTAAGAATAGACGATGTAAGCAAGGTTAGCGTCCTGTGACCCAGGATATGAGAAGCAACTAAACAGTCTGCCCCCTCCATATAAATCACTTCAGAATTCAGTTATGTCCGATACACTGATAGAAATTTCTGAAAGAACAGAGAATACAACAACGAATTCAACCGGCTACTTCACGAGAATCTCCTAATAAAGTTCACGGTTCTCCTGCACCTTGAGAAAGTTATAACAAGGAAATCAATCACATGTACAAATACATCTGCTATCTACAGAATAATTAATAGAAATATTAAAAAGAATATCACAACGCTGAGAATCATGATAAGTTTGCATTGTCGTTTATCTGTAAAAAAAGGAAATTAGTAAAATCGAACAAAATTAAACAAAATTAGAAATAAGGTAGAGTAAGCAATAGGCTGCGATCTATTCACTGAAAGGAATGCTGAATTTTGGACAAGGTCTTGACATATGCAGAAAACAAACCCGCCACCTCACATTTTCGGGGAGAGTACCATAAAACAAGTTCTAAAACGCGTAAAGTCTTCGGGTTCGCGGTTCACGGCTAAATCGGCCGACCACTCAGCACGTTAAATATGAAAGGCTGTAGGGCTATGGCCCAAAAGCCATTGCGCTGAGAGGGTAGGAGCGTTCGCGGTGGCGTAATGGATAACGACCAGAAAATGTGAACCGCGGGTTCAGGTCCCGCCTGGGACCGAGATTTTCCATGCCTTAACATTTTTGTGATATACGTCTATCCTTGCAAAGTCACAGTGCACGGGTGAAAGGCTTATGCTATGTTCATGATCAGCGCTAAGTCATAGAGCATTGGCGAAGTAGTTAGATACTAATCTATTTCGCCCCTTCTCCTTTTCTGTGAGGTCAAGGGGACCAGTTCGTATCAAGATATTTTCGCCGAGTTTCACTCCCTGCTTCTCCTATCTTCCTAAAAGGCCCAGTGAGCGGAGTCAACTGAACAACTTCTGTCCACGCTTTCGCGGATTCTACAGTTCTCGAATTCAACACATCGATACATGTAGTCCTTTCTGCAAGTTCTCCATCCACCAGAGATACTGTGTGAAAGCTTTCTAGATGTTTGATCTGGAGATCAGACCACTCTTCTTATGGTGTGCAGAGAGTAGAAAAGAAGGCTGTTGGAGAGAACAGGATCCATGCTATACCTGCGGCATGAGGAAAATAATTCAGCGAAAACTGCGGAACTCTACCAGATTAAATTGGCCACCATACTTTGTTACGAAGGAAAATCTTTCACGTTCCTTCCTTAGAATTCCTTCAATCACATTACTTACAGTAACCTTCAGCAGTATACTTTTAGGGTAAAATAGCCTAACAAATTCCAATAAATGACTTGCTCATATTGCATTACATAAGCTGCAGAATGTGAACTAACTAGAACCATTTTCTATCCCAGTACTATGTACGGGGGGGGGGGGCAGAAAAGAACACTTTTCTTCCTCACTTCCAAGGCCGATCCAACAAGGGAGGATGTTTAATATCCATGAACTTTGAAATGGGAACTAGATAATTGATAGAGCCTCCGAATGCTGATAACTAAAATATGTCCGAATTCAAAAAGTGCTACCGGAACCATTCACTACCATTCTGGGCGACACAAGTATGCGACACTTCGTATTTGAGCTCGTAGGCGCTGCCGATCGATCGACGGGGACAGGCGATGGGCCTGGGGGTAACGCGCGCGCTCAGAAGCCAAACATGCCATGCGGCTTTCATATCCGCGTTGGCGTGGGACGCGAAAACTTTTGCTTCGTCTCCTATAAAGGCTTTTACTCTAATTTTCGAAATTCTCCCGAGTTTACGGCTCGGCGGAGCAAGTAGATCAAGTAGATCAAGTATATGACCTACTCGATCGAGTATGGATTTGGTCACTATCTGCCCTCTCTGAACTCATTACCCATCCGACAGTTCGAAGTTTTGGCCAGAAACTCGTTCGTGGGGGTATTCTGGCCCCCTGAACACGAATATCACATCCGTTTGACGAGAAAACCCTTGTAGCCTTCCACATTGTTGTAGTCATGAGTTTCTGGCCAAATTGTGATTCTGGCCAAAACTTCGAATTGTCGTATGGGTAATGAGTTCAGACAGGGCAGATAGTAATCAGCTCCACACTCGACCGATCGTCATATACCTGAGCTACTTGATCTGCTAGACCGTAAACTCGAAAATTAGAGTAAAGCCCTTATAGGAGACGAAGCAAAAGTTTTCGCGCCAACGGGATGCAAACCCACAGCATTTGCCTTTGAAGCGAGACCGTTACCACTAGGCCACGGCCGCACTGTCCGTGATCGATCAGCAGCGCTTACGAGCCAAAACCGAGTTTTCGCAAACTTTGACCGCCCAGAACTCGTCTGGGAGGTCCCCGTAGCACTTTTAATCTGCATATTCGTAATCAGCATTCGAGGCTCTATCGATGTACCTAGGTCTCCATTCAAAGTTCCATGGGAAGTTGAAACCATTCCCTTGTAAGTTACACTTTGTTAAATTCTGATTGGACATTCCCACCACCATATTCAACAGCACATTGTACACTATCATGATACTCCGCCACAGCCTTCTGGACGAGCGCCATCGAGAGATTCTGCCACGCGACCGTGATTCGGTGCCTGAGTTCAGCGAGGTCGTTGATTTCTCCGCCACTGTAGACCACCCTGTTGAGCTCCGCTCGGACGTTTAGGTCAGGTGACACACTTAGATATTCCGTCTTCTTCAGGTACTCAACGCCCTTCCATTCCAAGTAGGCGAAAGTTTTTCCAACGCCCTTCGATTCCGTGTGGAGGCACCCAATCCTGTAGCAGTACAAAGTTTCCAAGATGGTATGGGATGAAGGCAGGATATTCCGCTCAAGGTGTCGACTCCGCTTCATACCGTCAACCCGCGCCTTGGCGACTGCGGTGAAGATGATGTCCTAGACCGTAGCGACGTTGTCGGAGCTGCTCGATGTTGGAGGTCTTCCAGATCAAGAGTGCTGGTCTCCAGGTAGCTATCCATGGGTGACTCCATACTAGAAGTTTCGCAGCTGTTTGGAGGTGACGTGAATTCCATAGGCCTTCTCCAGTCAGGCTGCGATTGGAGATGACTTCATATTTTGGTGTACATGAAGGTGATGGGCGAGAGCCAGCTCCTGCTTATCGAGGAACATCTTGGGTATCTTCCGCCCTGGTATCCACGTCTTCTGTCTGGGCTGCGAAAACTTTGCTGATATGTGACTCGGTCGAAGTGACTTTTTTGCCCCCCCCCTGTATTATAAAGTCCAGCCATGAGAAGACATGAAATTATGCGGCACAAATATCTGAAGTTCTTCCTCTAGGTAATTGGGGATACCTCAACACTCTCTCATTGACGTGGAGCTTTTCGGCTATGGCTAGATAACAGCCTGTTCCGTGAGAGGTAGCATCGACGGTTCTGTTCAAGCACTCTAAGGTCGTGGACCACGTGAGAAGCAATCTGAGCGTGGTTAGTAGCCACGCTAGTTCATGGAGCTAGACCTTTGAAATCAGCAGGAGACAACTCTTTGACCATCAGGCCTAATATTTTCAGTCACAATGCACGGATCGAGCGAAACAGAAACATTGATGAGCTTTGCTTGAGGAGGTGTCCAGGGTTGCTGATGCGTAAGAAACTAGGCATGGTATGGTGTGTGAAAGCAAGGCCAATGCGCAGGTGGCGACTACAAGCACCTCGAGAATGGGTTCCATCCAACATCCCGCTTTACCAGCCATGTGCACGGCTGCATCACTTTCAGAGCGACAGTAAAGGACAGGCTATTTCAAAAGAACAAAAAAGGAAACTATAGGACAAAAAAGAGAAAAATAAGGTTAACAAAAAACGATGGGAAAATACATGATGGTACTACCATCGTCCATATGCGTTAACTTTGCAATTTTCTTCATAACACTATCTAATTTGGTATCAACCGTATCCATTTCTTGTCCTAAATCGTCCAACATACTGAAAAAGCCCAAAATGAGAGGCAACAACGAAGATATCAGCCATGTTTACACTTTCCGATGCATAAGTTCACTCCCATACTTCGCGACCCGACCACTCGAAGGCACGATCCTAGCCATCGGATCTTGAAGTGAACGCGCTTTAACCGGATAGTTGAAGTTCAGCAGTGAAAAAACCTCGCTTTTCCATAGACCGCTCTTATTTATTCGGACAAAAAGCTAGAACCGCGGATAGTGGTGTCCGAACGGATGGCAGGGAATCTGCTCAATATCCACTTCGCAAGGAGTTGCGAAAAATTTGCAGCCCTTAAGCGGAAAGGCGGCTTATACTCCGGAAACTAGAAAAAGTCAAAGAAAGTAAGTAAGTAAAGCCGAACTCACACAGCCTGCTGGTCAAGCTCATCGCCAATTTTATAGCTCATATTTTTCAATGTAGTAACCGAATTTCCAACAAGTACAAGGTCTTCATCTTGTTCACGAATTATTTGCTGAAAAATTCAGTGAAATGCGACAGGAAGAGAATATTGGACCAATTATCAAGGAGAAGGGTATGAGACTGCAAAGAAGTAGAGAAAATACGTTATGCCTCATTAACAATTGGGTAGCACTACTTATTTTATTTCAGTTACGATGGGCATAATAAAAAAGAGAGAAAATAAATATGTAACCTAACTCTACTGATTCCTTTTCCTTCTCCTTTTATTCTTCTGCGGTCAAAGTACGCGGATTCAGGCAGCTCCACGGAGATCACGAAAGGGTTAGTGATTGCGGTCCACAGGAGCTGCTAGAAGCTCGCGAGTCGGGTGTCTACCACCCCAGACAATGGGTCCCCGCCTACTTCATAATCGCGAAGAAATTCTACGAAACTGCATAGGAAAGGAAAAGACATTCTCTCGAGCACGTTATTGAAACTAGAGGCGTCTTGTCCAGGGCCGCTTTATGAGATTTTTTCGCTACTGTTCTGCGCCATCTGCATGCTGATCCATAAGGTCTATGTCTGCAAGCAGGTGCAAAAGGGCGTTAAACCATCTTTCTGA